GGGGTAATCTGTGCCCATTTGCTCCTTCTAGGTTTAGGGAATGGGTTCCTCACATCTACTCAATACCTGAATCCTTTTTTTCTACTTCCTGTTTTAGAATCAGTGAAGGATTTATTTTTACATTCCACCCCACGGGAGGCTGCTGAGCCAAGGTAAGTGTCCCCTTTCAGAGCATCTAAACTATGCAGACAGCTCTGTTTCAGGCTCTGATGGGACAATAATATTTAAACCCTAAGTGTTTTAATGCCCGTCTTTTCCACCCATGCCAATTCCCAGCACTCAGTCAGAATGATGTTCTTGCCATCCAAATCTGAGTTCAACTAGTTATGCAGTGAGCTGAGACATCCCTTGCTTTTGGGTCAAAAATAAACAAACAAAAGTCTGATCATAACCTTTAGATCCCTACTGTTTCCCTGACCTCCCTGTGCTATAGACTCCCTGGCAGCTTATTTGTGACAGTGGCAGGAGTGGGGATTTGCTTTCACTACATTTGAATCACTTGGAATTCACCTTTGACAGAATCCAGCCCAGATTAGAAGAAAGTACATGATATACTCCTGGCACAAAAATGGAGAGAAGTGAGGATGTTGGATTCGGTATTAATGGTGAAATCTGGTTTTATGGGGGTGGGGGCAGGTTTAGTGTGAGTACACTGCCATGGAGTAAAAGCAGTTATGAGGAAAAAGGGCCACAATGTCTTACAGAAAAATAATACACACAGTAGCACAATGTCTCTCATTACTATGCAATAATTTGTACCCATGCACCTTCATGTAGTTGATACGATTTCTCTCTCTGTCTCTCTCAAATATTAGTGCAGTTTATTTCCTCTTGTTTGTGTACGTCTTTAAGTGCCTGTTGTAAGCGTGCCTTCCAACTCTTGTATCACTCTGGTGACGCAGTCTCATCCAAACCCATCCTCTCTCATTTTCACCCAAGGTGTTATATGATGTTATATTCATCCTTCGAAGCACACTCAGTGATTCCTTTCTGTCTATACTTCAGGATAACTCCTGAACTCCTTGCTATAGTGTATGCAGGTCCCATGATCTGACAATCCCCCTTTGAAATCCTCACCACCATTCATCCCTTTTTTGCTCATTTGTTCACAATTTGACATTCATACAGTCATTAGACCATTATGAATTTCTTTCCTAAATATGCGAGGCTGTTTCAGACCTTTATGACTTTTTTTCACTCTGATTCATCTGCCTAGAAGGTTTCTTCTCTTGTATTTGTATTTAAGAACTTACCTGATGATTGTTTAGTATCTGAGATATATTTTCCAAATATGTTCATCTTTGTTTTGTTTATCTAATTGCATATATTCTTGTGTCAATTAAAATTTTCAATTTGGGCCATCTTTGATGACCTGAGCCTATAATAAAATTTTAGTAGAACTAGAGAACATTTTCCAAAAGTCAGAAATTTTAAATGTGTAAATATGATAGTGAGTTCAAATCTGACTTTTTTTCTGTGTTGTGACTCAGTCAGTCCTTAAGGTTGTGCCTCTCTGGTTTAGACAGTCCTGGGCTTCAGTATAATTCTATTTTATCATTCTCTAAGTTATTTATTATGCCTGAAACATATAGTGTCTTCTGTGAAATTAGAATGAGAATGTCTCATTAACATTGTTTCGTGGACTATAAGGGATATTATTTGAAAAGCACTCAGCAAATTTCCTGGCAAGAACTCAATAGATTGTTATTAGAAGAGATTATGGTTTGTTAAAGCTCATAAAAACATAACCCTGCAAGTTCTTATCCATTATCATCTGCTTCACTATAAAGAAAATGCCTGTAAAGTCCTAAGTTTTCCTATTTTAGTAAGGGGCAACACCTCTGTGTAATAAGCTATACAGGTGAGCTTTTTCCTTGAGCTCTTTCTATCCCTCAAATCCATCAATTACTGTTAAAGATTCTACTTCTGTAATGTATCTTAAGTCAACCCACTTCTCTGAAACCTCAGTTTTCAAGGTCACTGTCACCTTCTCTGAACAGCTCTCAACCAGTCTCACAACTCTCACTGTTGCATTCCTGGATCCACTTTGAAAGTAGTTATCTTTCCATAACAGTCACACCATGCTCCATTGACCTTTAACCCTTTGCTTGCTTCGCATTGCACTTACACTACTATTTCAGTCTCCTCTTATGATCTGTAAGGCTTTTCCCTCCCTTCTTTTCCCACCTCTTTCCGGCTCTTTTGCAACCCATCACAATATAGCAGTGGTGCTTTCACTTCAGCACAGCTCTCCCCCACCTCAGCTCTTCAAATTCTGGATTCTGGAGTCTTTCTCTGCTCAAATGTCACCTCCTCAAGACCAGATGGACCTTCCAGGTGATACTACAATTATTTTCTATTTTTTAACCTTCACAGAAAATACTTTCAATTTATTTCTAAATTTCTACTTTGCTTTTTTAAGAATCTCTATACCCGGAGACCCATTTCTTTCCCCCAAGAATTTGAAGCTCCCTGAGAGTAAATTTGTTTTTCTCACCACTATGCTTGGCACAGAGTACTCCTCCCTCCTACTGGTCTATCCTCCCCTTCTTACTGCTCTAAGGTGGGGCATGAGCAGCTTTCATCCTTACCATCATTTATAGTTAATATAAAATATTATATTTTTAGGTAGTTAATATAAAATATTATGCAAGGTGAGCACTGTAATCCTAGATACTTGTGAGGCTGAGATCAGTAGGATATCAGTTCAAGTCCAGCCCAGGGAAATAGTTCATGAGATTTCCATCCCCCAAAAAAATCATTTGTATCATTTCGTTTGGATTCTCACCCATAGTAACTTAGCTGACCCCATATTAATTCTCATATTTACAAAAGAGGAGACTGGATTTCCCAGAGGTTAAGTTTTTAAGGTCACATAGCATATCAGTGACAAACAAACTAGAATGAGGCACAAGTCTGTCATACCAAACAGCCCAGCCCTCCCCATACCATGCTCTCACATGCCTCACAGACAATGACAGATGCTCCCCATCCCCAGAGATGGAAGAGGAAAAGAAAGCAATAGTATGGGAAGGATGAATGAGTCATAAGAAGACCTTTCTATATCTCAGCTGATGTTAAAAGAACATTGTAACATCACACAAGGTGTGTATCCTTTGAAATTGGCAGGTGTAACATGAAGTGTGCAGTGTTTTTTATTGTTTATGGATTTATTCATATGTGTACACATTGTTTGGGCCATCTTTCCCCCCTGCCCCCCTCCCTTGCTTCCAGGTGGAACCTACTCCACTCTCTTTTCCAATTTTGTTGAAGAGAAAGCATAAGAGATAATAAGAAATATATAGCATTATTGCGAGCTTGATATAAAGATAGCTATACAGAGAGATTCTTTGCATTACTTCCATGCACATGTGTATTACAACCCAAATTGGTTCCTCTCTACCAGACCTCTTCACTACTTCCCGGTCACCTTCCCATAGTGACCTCTGTCAGTTTAAGATTACTTTATTTGCTTCTCTACAGTGGGCACATCAAACACTTTTAAGTTTTAGGTTTTCTTCCCTTTCCCTATTCCTTCTGCACTTGTTCTACTCTTAGTGTGTGACCCATGTCCAATAATATTACTGCATTTTTTTAGGTCTATAATCCTCATATGAGGGAGAACATACGATTTTTGGCCTTCTGAGCCTGGCTAACTTCAATTAAGATGATATTCTCTTGTTCCATCCATTTACTTGCAAATGACAAATTTTCATTCTTCTTTGTGGTTGAGTAAAATTCCATTGTGTAGAAATAACACATTTTCTTGATCCATTCGTTGGTAGTGGGGCATCTTGACTGTTTCCATAACTTGACTATTGTGAATATTGCTGCAATAAACATGGGTGTGCAGGTCCTTTGGAATAATCTGAGTTGCATTCCTTTGGGTATATCCCTAGGAGTGATATTGCTGGATCATATAGCAGATCTATGTTTAGCTTTTTAAGAAGCCTCCATATTGTTTTCCAGAGTGGTTGTACTAGCTTACATTTCTACCAACAGAAACATACTCCTTTATTACTGTAAAGAGCAGTTAATCTCTATCTATATCACCTCAAAACTCAGTTTAGGGATCTGTCTTTGCACATCCAGAGATTCATTTGCTCAGCCAAGAAAGAGACTTCTCCTAGTCTCCCTCCTAGTCTCATCTATTCTGGAAAGGAAAGGAATATAGAGAAGTTTATGTTACTCTTTGACAAAAAATAATCAATGCTTATTCAATATATTTGAGTGACATAGATATGTATATAGATATATGTACATACATATGTATTAATATCATCATATATATCACTGTTCTGATGTTCTGATAGTGGGGTTACAAGAGTAAAATGATACATTTGTGGATTCTTCCCTGTGGCACTTAAGATCTTATAGAGGAAACAAAACACAAGCAAACATGTGGACATGGACAGATGAATGAATTAGAAGCAATGTTGTAGTAGTGGTTAATATTTTGCATATCTTCAATAAAGTGACCCAAGGAGCTTTGAATATTTACTGTTGAGGTGTTTATGAAGCAGTGTAGGATATTTGATAGTACATGGCCTTAGACTTAGTCTTGAATGTAATTGTTACCCTGCTGTCAGTGAGAACTTGGTAAGTTACTTAATACCTCTCAAAGACATAGTTTATTAATTATTAAATGGGATATCATAACATATGTAAAGATGTGACTTGATAATTAATGTATATTTTGTGCATAGTGTATCTGGTTCATGATCTAACCTATGGTATTAATAAGTAACTGTTCTATACTGGGCAGGGTTGCACATGCTTACAACCCCAGCACCTAAGAGGTAATAACAGGAGAACTGTAGTTAAAGGTTAACCTGGGCTACCCAGTGAGAACATGTCTCAAAATCCCACAAATACTCTAATATAATAAAAGATCTTCTGTTATCAGCAGTCAGATAAGGAAGGATGAAAATGTTAACTTGACCATAAATCCTGATGAAGTAATTCTTTTCTTTAGGAGAGCTAAGCCCTATGAATTTAATATGGAGGTGGATAACCAGACAAGGGTCACTAAATTCATTCTGGTGGGGTTCCCTGGGAGCTTGAGCATGCGTGCAGCAGTGTTCTTGGTGTTCCTTGTGGCGTACATTCTAACAGTAGCTGAAAATGTGATCATCATCCTGTTGGTACAGCAGAACCGGCCACTGCACAAGCCAATGTACTTCTTCCTGGCCAACCTGTCCTTCTTAGAGACCTGGTACATCTCTGTGACAGTGCCCAAGCTGCTGTTCAGTTTTTGGTCCATGAGCAACCACATCTCTTTCACTCATTGTATGATACAGCTCTACTTCTTTATTGCGCTCATGTGCACAGAATGTGTTCTCCTGGCTGCCATGGCCTATGACCGCTATGTGGCCATCTGCCGTCCACTCCATTATCCCACCATCATGAGCCATGGAGTTTGTTTGCACCTGGCTCTTGGTTCCTGGGCCACTGGCTTTGGTATCTCATTGGCCAAGATCTACTTCATCTCTCGCCTCAGCTTCTGTGGCCCCAATGTCATCAATCACTTCTTCTGTGACATCTCTCCAGTACTTACTCTCTCCTGCACAGACATGTCCATTGCTGAGTTGGTGGACTTTGTCTTGGCCCTGATCATTTTCCTCTTTCCACTCTCAATCACTGTCCTGTCCTATGGATGCATTCTGGCCACTGTGTTACGTATGCCCACAGGAAAGCAGAAAGCCTTTTCTACCTGTGCTTCCCACCTTGTGGTGGTCACCATCTTCTATTCAGCCACGATTTTCATGTATGCCCGACCCCGGGCCATTCATGCCTTCAATGTGAACAAAATTATTTCCATCTTCTATGCTATTGGCACCCCTGCCCTCAACCCTTTCATTTATTGCCTAAGGAATCGAGAGGTGAAACAAGCTCTGAAGAAACTAGTCTACTGTTAGTCAACTAGACCCGACTAGTGTGTTACAATGGATTAGGGGGAAAAAAGGCTGATTAAATGCTTCCTCTGTCTCCCTCCATCTCTTCTGCTTCTACGCCTCAGCTGGGCATTAAGGTGCAAACATGTCATCATCATATCCACACCAATCTCAGGCCTTTGTCTGCATCTGTGCAAGAGATTTGTGCTTATAGAGCTAGAGAAAAAGAATTATCTTTGTGACCCAAGGGGAGTTTCTAAGATAGTGAGTAAATGTATAACTAAATTAAACAGGAGGAGTCAGCCACATTTGGAACTAGCAAGCATTAACAGCTCCACAAGCCACTAAGTGGCTTCTTGATTTCTCATCTCCCTGAGTGTGACAGACGGAGTAGCTCCCTCAACAATTCCATTTTGAGGGGCTGGGAGTCAGTCATGGTGGAAGAGATAAGAGGTTTTTCCTTGAGTCCTTCTAACACTTTTTGCCAAACCGTGCTTACCTGTGTTAAATCTATTTCTGCTTCAAAGAAAGCACTTGCTCTTACCTGTGAGTGAACCATGCCTTGTGGTACAATTATATTTTGTTTTCTGCTATCATTTGTACAGTTGCCTTTTATTATGTTTTATATTTCCCTGAACAATGTTTGATGTCACAATGTTTGTTTGTATCCCCTAATGGATGAGCGTAAAGAAGATATTAAATAAATATTATTGAATTCATTAATTGCTGGATTATCCTGCCCTCATTTGTATTCTTTTCTTTTGATTCCAAAGTTCTCTCAGTCCTCTTCTTTTCCCTTTTTCTTCTCCTGCCTGTAACTCTTCCTATGCTCATCTTAGATATAAGGAATCAGCCAAATTTTAGGATTTGACAGGGATTTTTCTCTCATGCAGCTGTGATTCTCTGCTCTCCTCATTTATTTATCTACAGATGTACACAAGACTTTTGATAAGACTTGTAGATAAGTCCATCCTTTTATCAAAGTCATGCCAATGGCAAAGGTAATCCTACCTTAAATTGCATTCAGTGTAATATGCCAATATAAGCTGGTGTTTAATTCTTTTTATGAACAATTTTAAACAGGAGCACCTACTGCATTTGAAACATCTTTCATATGATGAGTACAAGAAACACTTTCAAGAATGCTTTCTCTTTCTATTGAAGTAAGAAGCATTGGTTTGGATCCTTTGTTCCATTTTACAAACAGCAAAACATATGGCCAAGGAATTAAATAGCACACTCCCACAGTAAGGAGCAGAGGTCAAAGCCCAGGCTTACTGAAGCTGAGCCCTGAGTCCTTTCTCTATCACGTGGGGTCTCCCTAGAGACAAACACGCTTCTTCAGTAGCCATGTGTAGAAGCCAAATGTGAGGGGATGTGGATGGAATCATAAATTATTATACTGGGAGCACAGCTAATAAAATAAAAATAAGCAGATGAGAGTCTATCTCCTGGAAAAGAAAAGAAACACAGGTGAAATAGAAGCACAGCTCACTTTAGAGAAAAAAATGTACAAAAGTAAACAAGTCTTACAATGGAAATGATTTAATGTTTGTTTCTGTGATGTGTTTGGTTCCTTAATACAATGAAGAAGTAATTATGACTATATTTACATTTAAAACCTGGACATAAAAAAAGAAATTATTTTCTGAAATATTCAGATGACTCAAACTATGATTGCACAGTCATGCTGGAATATTAAATGAGTGCATGTAATAGGCAAAGACATGTTCAATAGAGATAAGATAATGAAGGATTAAGAACTCTGACAACCATTTATGTTTCAGCACCAGATATAGTTTTCCTTGTAACTTTGGACAAATTATCTATACTTTCTGAAATACTGAATCGTGTGAAACACATGTGAATAATAAAGCTTGTTCTACATGACTTGCATAGTGGTTATGAGGATCTACCAACACGATTAAAAACCTGGGACAGTGTAAGATCTAAGCAAAGTACACTGTGGTTGGGGTTTACCTGGGGAAGTGAGTTTGGAAGGTTATACACTTTTATTTGTCTAAAACCATCCTATGCTGACTAGGGTCCATGTAAATAGTCTGGAAGGCTGCAAATATAAGGGGATATTTTTTCTTTACTATTTCCACAAGTGCCTGGGTAATGGACAGTGTGAGAGTAGGGCTTCTTGTTAAATTCTCTTAAATTCTGTTTCAAAGAAAACTGAGAATTAATAATGGATCCTTGACCTCTTTAGGAAAGGAATTCCTAAGTGCATAAACTAGGCAAATTAAATGTTACAATCTGAACAATGTAGGAATCTGCCCCAACAGAGACAAGGTAATTTGTAGCAGTTTAGTGGTTCAATTCACATGGAAACAAGCTATTTGTAATATGTGACACATGAAGTGAACTCCAAGTTTAGGCTGCCCTGCTTCATGATGGGTGAGTTTGGGTAGTGATGGTACAAGTCTGGTACCCAGATTTAGTAATTTGCTCAGAGACCCAAGCCCTGAGGATGTGATTATCACTATCCAAACATAGAAAGAATTTCATAAAGCTAAATATAAATATGTGACTTTCACACATGATATATATTTTAATGCATTATACTCATTCACTCAACTAATGTTTATTAAATATCCCTTGTGTTCCTGTAAGGTAAAATAATAACAATACAAAACTTATCATCTTTATGAGTTGAACCACATAGCAGATAGCACATTTGCACATATGCAATTCATCCTTCCATCCACACACCCATTCATGCATACATATATACATTTAGTAGTGGGTTGAATGGTGGCTCCCAATAAGATATGATCATATTCTCAACCTGGAATTTACGTTTATGAAACTTCCTTGGGAAAGGTCATTAAAATCAAGTGAAGTTAAGGATCTCACAGTGATATCACCCTAGATTATTTTGGTGGAACTTAGCCCTGTAATATGTTCTTTAAGTGTGAAGGAAGGGGAGAAGACAGCAAAGAAGGATTTGGAAGTATGTAGGTAGAGATTAGAGCTGTCTATCCACATGCCAAGAAATGCCTTGAGTCTCCCAAATCTGGAAGATGCAAGTAAGGATTATCCCCCAGAGCTTTCAAAGAAAATGCAACCCTGTTGATACTTTGATTTCAGAGTTCTGGCCTCCAAAACTATAAGAAAATAGATTTAAGCTTCCAAGTTCGTGGTAACCTTTTATGAAAATCTGACCACTGGTCATAGGGAAGGAAGCATTTTACTTGTTCAGGCCATGATTTAAAACCCAACATCAGGACTTACCTTCCTCTTGCATAGGCATCTTAGCCAAGGTGCTAAGATGAGTGAATTCATGGTCAGAAGACAGACACTACATATCTACTCCAAGAATATGAGCTGACTAAATCCTACCTAGATACCGAGAATAGAAAATAGGATATTTTTTGCTGTAACTTCTTGCTTTATCCACGATAGCCTAATTAACTTATTTTTTCCTAAATAAATTTCTTGTGTTAACAATCCACTACAAATACAGTGGTTTGTCTCTGATCATAGTCCTCTAACTTGGGAATGATCAAGGTATTGAAAAGTAAGACTGACATTGCCTAATGTTATAACGTGGGATGGATTAAAAGAGATGTACGGGACAGTTTAGAACTATTTTTTTTATGAAAGAGAGGATCTGGAAGTATACAGGAATATATATTGAACTTCTCAGTTGATTTTAAGCAAATTTCAGTCCATTAAGGAGTAAAATTTAGATCAATGGCAACAGCATGTACCTATGGACATGAGAAGGCTACAGCATGCTAAGACTCATAGAGACCATATTTCTGAAAATGGTTCTGATGGATACTCTTGATTGTTAACTTGCTTAGATTGAGAAATGCCTAGATTAGTAAAGCACACTTTTGGGTGTGTCTCAGAAGGCATTTCCAGAGATAATTGGCATAAGGGCTACAATGGAGGACAAAGACTTGCCTTGAATGTCAGTGGCACCATATAATAAGTTGAGAGCCTAGACTGACAAAAAGCAGAAGGAGGAAGTCAGCCAGTATGAGCAAGCTTAGTATTTCCTGAGCTGGTGTCTCCATTTCTGCATTGCCTGAGGAACCAGACTCCAGCTTCTTTAGTCTTTCAAGGTAAACTCATACCAGCAGCCCTCCAGGGAACTTCCAGGTCTTCAGCTTTGGACTGGGGCTACATCATTGGTCCCTCTTGTTCTGAGGCTTTTATCTTCTTGGGTTGAGAAGCTACTGATTTCTCTGGCTCTCCAGAATTCAGACAGCCATTGTGCGAGTATCCAGTCATGAATAATATAATGGTTCATATATGAATATGTAGAAAACTCAAGGAAACTATTTTGCCTTTTCACAATTTTTTAAGAATGTATTTTTTTATCATTTAAAGAAGATGATCACTGAAAAAGTATGAAATGAAGAGTAGCATTGCATACATGCATGTAAATAACACAATGAAACAACTTTGTACAATTAATTTGTGCTAATAAAAATTTACACAAAACAACAAAAATATAAAATTAAGTCTAGGAATTTCTACATGATCTAGAAATAAGCCTTCCACACCCATTTCCCTATTTCTCTTTAATGACAACACACACTTTGACTTTCACTCCAGAATGAATTGAAATAATGGTTCCATGAGTATAACCAACAGCTTGCAGTTGGCCTCAAGACTAAAGTCCCTGCAAGTCAATGGCTTTTCACAGAAGGAATAGAAAATTTATGTCAGGAATAATAGGAGTTTCAGAAGTCCTCTGAATAGAGTTCATCGTAGCTAGTGTTAGAGAGTTCAGCCTTTTACTTTCTGTAAGTTTCAAGTCTAGTGGAGTTCTGATCATTTGAATTGGGGGTTAAAGACAAAAAAGCTTCCTTTAGCCAAGGGGGAAAAAAAAAAAAACCTATGTGCTTCTTCATTTATATCCAGACACTCACAGCCTGAGCTCATTTCTTTCTAGTTAAACCATAGGTAATAAACAATAGGTCTGAAATTTTCCTATTAAGTCTATTTTTCTATCTATCTTATGCCTGTCAAGCTAGATCATATCTGAATCTCCAGAGAGGCAC